GGAACTATTTTCACGCAGCTTTTACACATTTATTGTTTTGAGACGATGGTGTGACTGAGAGGTAGGGATGCTTGTGTATGGTACACACTAAGTGTACGCTTATGTTGACATTTATATATGTTCAGGGTCTTTTGTACTGGTAGAGTAAAATATACACGGCGGTATGTTTCCATAGGCGGTAAATGGTCAAAGATATGTACGTGTATGTACGTGTAAAACGTTTAACAAGCAAATTGTGTACTTTAAAAAATCACAAACTGATAACAATATTATGACTATTAATCTTATACACCACATATCTGACATAATATAGTTTGACTAGATATTATTCCCCCACAAATTATGTAATTTTGATATTGTAGATGATATCTAAATCATACTAAAGTAGGGTAACACATTAGATGTTCTATCATCATTTGTCGATCAAACATTTAGCTTTACGTCACAATTTCCAATTTTCTTTCTTTCTTAACATAGAACCCTGAAAAAACGCACCAATTAATTAATATAAACTAGCTATTCAAGTGATTTTATCTAGAAGAAAAAGTTTCACTCGCCTCCATCGGGTCAATACTAAAACTAGTATTGCAGTTTGGTGTACATTATCGATACAATATTAAGCGCTGATGATTAAAGAGGAAGCAGTAGTTGTAGGTACAAACAAGCAGTGTGGGCAATGGTGTTAATAAATAAAGAGCGAGTTATCAATGCGTTGACAAACCACAATTCGCGAGTCAGGTAGACAAGCCAAAGGTTAACATGATAGTCAACATGTTACCAACAAGCATTTCCCCAAAAGGCGGAAGTTTATGAAGATGTTGTACATACTGATAGTTTTGCAAAATAATATAGAACTTCCCCATTCAATTCATTTCCTTTGAGGTAAGTGCGATTAAACATTTTTTGTTTTGCTGAATAGATATGTTCTGCCACACCCTAAACACGATCGTATCTACTTCAAAGAATACAACTGTGATGCTAATGACAAGATAATTATCCTTATTTGCTATAACTCACATACTAGTGCTTATTCATTGAACTGTGCTGATCAACTATACAGCTTACAGTTACAGGTGTTGTATACGGAGAGTGACATAACTTGCTCCTCAAACAATGACCAAGGCCACTGAAAATTATGGAAGAAAGATTCTAAACACAGGAATTTTGAAATCAAACACTCACACCCTTATCGTGTCTCTTTCTGTAAAAGTCCCTCTGACAAACCATAAAGTAATGTTCATGGAGACAAGATGTGCTGATGCTAATGACAATCGAGCTACTAAATCGTACACAAGTAGCTATGTATCTCCTCACAATGTCATAATTAACCATTGTACTGGTTACCGAGTGTACTGTACATAATAGCATGAATACCTTTGAGGAGAAGCCATTTTTCTTGTGGAAAAAATGTCTTTGTATACGGTATAAATATTATGTCGTCAAAAATACGGCACCGAGTTTGAGTGCCAAAAAAATGGATGCCGATCAGGCAAGAATATTGGACAATACTCGAGGAAATTTCCACAAAACTACAAGCGGTATAATATCTCTGTGAGAAATCCATAGCATTTCTGATGTCTTTTAAATATCTTGTTTTTTATGGAGATTCAAATAATACACTGTTTAATCCTTATCCCATTGTAATTATCCTCGGTTGAGTGGTTTGGAATGAAGCTTTGATAACAAACACGACACAGTTAAATAAGGACAACAGTGATCTCGGTTTAACGACGGTGTATTGGTCAATTTGATATTATCTCTGAACTCAGATATCAATGTACACATATACAAGCTATTTACTTGCATACCTATTGCATGTATTGCTACAAACATTAGGCAATAACGACTGGGTAATTCAGCTTTATTAATCAGTAGTATCCAAACAGCGCAGTCTAAAATCCGTAACAGGAGAGCGTATGGCGTATACGGTGAACCGATCAGGCAAAAAACCTTGCCCCGCGTTAAGACAAAGACACAATTAAAACAGCAGAACTACCCTATCATATGTGTCATTGTTTATTTAGAGACGTTTAACGGGGCATCAGGGTGAAGTAACTTTATTTTTTGCCTTTTTTTCAAATACTACATAAACATATCAAGTGAAACTCCTTATGGAAAATAACGATCGGATTTGGCTGAAATAGATTCATAAAAATGATTAAATCTAAGAAAATCATCGGTATTTCTACCTGTCTGACCAACGTTATGTTCAGGGATTTCCCTCTATTAGCGCATGCGCATAGCACACCATTTCTTTGTAAACAAAATGACTGGCCGTGTGAAGTAAGCGAAAGAAAAGTGTTGTACCGTGTCAGCTACGAAACGAAAAGTTGCCAAATGGTCAAAAGATAGCGCAAGGAGTACGTTACGGAATCATTATTGCAGGTGGGCAGTATTCAAAGGAGAAAATAACTGCCGTAGCAGTTAGTACGGTGCATGTATTCTTCCGGATAGCCGGTTAAGCTGAAATGGAATCGACAGAAATGCTAGCGCTGTTTATGTTATGAATAAATATCTAAAACTATTAAGCTCGCTAGTATCTTTGTCTGAGTTTGAACACAGATGAACTTAGTTTAATATGTTAATGGGCATGTATTGGAGAGAGTTTACTTTGTGTTTCTATAATTATACAGTGGTTTATGCGAAAGGAAGGGATAAGTGACTGGTTAGTTTGATTTTTCCATGAGGCCCTCCAAGGGATAACTGTTGTGATGGCCCACGGCGTATTTTCTGGGTCACCGAGATACGTGTTATCGAAGTTCGTGGATTTACATAATTTATAATATTACCGGGTTCAATAAAATGGTATGATTTAATTATATTGCTGAATTAAACGAACGATTATTTTTGTTTTTACATGCAAGATTTAAATTAGTACTAATATGAATACCCGGCCTCCTCTGCCCCGGCAACATATAAAAAAAATCAGAAAGGTTTGTCCCTTGGTGTAGGGAAGGTGTTTAGCCCCGCACCATCTGTACCGGCCATATTCCGGTACTAAATTCAATACATATTTAAATATATCTACTTTATGTTTATGCCTATTATCATTGTTGACATTTAATTGTAAATGTATAACGGGAGAAGGCTGTGATAAATTGTAAAAACTTGTGCCCCATCCCTTGTTTAATTTTATTGGCAACACATTTATGTTTAAAGCTAAATAAATTTAAATTCTGAATATTGGCAAGTGTGCAATTAACTTCTAATGATGAATAATACTGTTCAAAAAACTTGGTTTCTTAGTGCGGTAAGAAGTTGCAGTTGCATGACGGCCCCTCTCTGGGGGCCCCCTTGGAAACCGTTTCATCTCGCTCGCACCACTTGTGTTTACTGCCTAGTCAGGTGACGTTATCGGCGCTATTTTTAGCAGGGCTTTCCCGAACAATTCAAGTGGTCAAACTGGACATTTGGAACGGACTATGAATATGGGGATAGCGAGGTAACATAAGTGGAAGTGCATACAATACATATATTCATTTAAAAAAACCGCCTTTTCACCTGATGTCCCTTTAAAGCATTATCTCTGTATGTTTACTTTTCTTTAAATTTCAGTTGCAGTTTCTTGACCAATTATCTCCTGCTCCCTATCTCACCAAAAGTAAAGATTCTCTTGAAAATCATGTTGTATTGATAGTCTGTCGTCGCTGATTTATATATCCTTCTTACGTAGGATAACATTTAGGATGTAATCTAACCACTCGGCGAATCTATAATTGGCACGTTACGATGTTCAACATATTTCCTTCTTGCACAAACATGTAGACCTGAATGACTAATTAATTAGCTATACAAGTAATAAAAAAATAACCAAAAGCATCAATCGGGCAAATAATAACATTGCGGTATGGTGCATACTATTTAATACATGTTAAACGATAACGATTGTATATGAAGGTATAGTTGCGAAGAAGTAGTGTTCAGAAAAAAATAAGTAAGCATGATCCACTTTTATTAAAAGTTGTCCAATTATCATTTAAATATTATGTAGCTGTTGCAAGGACGTTAAATAAATGATCTCTACCGTAAACTGATCTCAGTGTATCAACTCATGTACTTATGTTGTAACCTTCCAATTAATGTGGTTAACAAATTAGTCAAAAACCTGTAGACAAGCCAAATATACAACATCATGATGTGGTATCCGTAGCTCTGATTTTGACCGAAACCTTATGACCATGAATTTTGACGGACTTTAGTGATTGATGTCAGAACACTTGTTCGAAGTTTCATAATGAACTTGGTTCAACGCTTTTATCAGAAAGTTACAGACAAGTCAAATCTTAACAGACGGACAGACAGACAGCATGACACCAGCATACTCTCCTTTACAACCTCAGTTGCTGTATAAATAGATGTTTTAGATAATACAAACGTTGGCGAAACATAGAACAGAACTTCCATGTACATTGATTTGCCTACAAGGTAATTGAGAAGGACATGTTTGCCTTGACGATTACTTTTGTATTAAAGTTTTAATTTGCAATACCAACACATCGAATCCCATGGTGTGATTGACCGTTAAATATATGTGTACTAGCAAGGTAGCGTACTGTTAAAACAATATGAAGAAGGTTATGACAATATCAGTTTTGACGAGATTTTACTGTTACTAAATATTTGTATTGATTAGTTTATTTAATTGAAAACATGTCTGTATTTGCTTGCTTTATTTAAACATTTAATTCAATACCGTTAAAGAGCAGACTCTACACCTATTCTGATGATTTTAATAGACCTTTTTTATTGGATAGATAACTTTGTATTTTGATTGATAATACAACAAAACAGATACAAAAAAATATAACAATTTTTGTATGTGGTATTGCAAAAATGAGTTGTATAAAGCGCAGTTCACAGAAACGTTTCTGGTTTGTTTGTCCACTAATTGTACACTTTGTTGACTATTATAAATGTTCGTTTGAAAATTGTTTATTCTAAAATAAGGGTAGATAAAACACTAAAATGACCAGTTTTCAAGATGATCACTCCCATACCTTTTACACTAACTGAAAGATACGGATATAGTCCCTCTCGTCGTCTGTAATACTAGTATTAGCTACTACAAATGTGTCACCACAAACAGCTATTGCCCGTGGATATGTTATTCCATCTGATGACGTCAGCAGCTCTCTGACGTGTGTTCCGTCTCCTGACATCTGTACGATGTTGTTTGATTCCCCACCACACACGTAGATGTTACCCTCTCTGTCCACGTCTATTCCTCTAGCTTCCCTCACGACACCGACTTTCGCCACATCCGTACGACGTTTGTCAGCCGAAAGTCTAGATACCGCGACGTCCCCCGGGTTGGTGTTATTGACACTGACAAGTGTGTCTCCCTTTTTGATATCATGAGTGAGGGACCGACATGTGTTGTTATATCTGTATAACAAGTCGGCTGCTCCGTTCTGTGTCACACTGTATACTTCTCCCTCGCCTGTACCCACGACCAACCTCCCGTCTGTATGTGTTATACCATAACAGTTTTTACCATTTGACACATTGATCGCAGATGTCAGGGAGAGTTTTGAGGCCTTGACTTTCATGAGATGAACACAGCCAGGACTGCTGACGGCAACCGCTATCGTGTTTTTGTTTACCAGACACATATCCAAGGGATTTCCACGAACAATCACCTCGTTCAGGTACTGTCCTTTGTCTGTAAATAACTTCAGTTTTTTGTTGTAGAAATCACTTACTACTATCTGTGCACTCGGCATACACATAACGCCACGGGCATAGCTATTCTGTTTATCTGACGGGGACTTGATGTTAAATTTTCCGATTTCTTTCACACGTCGTTCTGACATGGGGTTTGCTAAATCGATATGGCTCCAAGGGATGCATCGTGGTTGTTTTCCGACGACGATCTTTCCCATCGCGTTATCACCAATGATATCATGTCCGGGAACAATTTGATGCTCGATGCTGAGGGATGTAAATGACTTACACAACATAGTGACCAGAGTCCTACACGACTCTACTTCTGACTGCCCTCTCTGATACAACACTATCGTCTCAATGTTGTCGTTTTGCTTTACGGCGTTAATGGACGACTTCAGGGTATTTTTCATCCCGTTCATCAGGCGTTCGCACTGCCGTGATGATGCCTCCATGTCTCTTTTCTCTTTTTTGAACAATGTAATCATCTCGTCGGTGATGTATTTCTGAAGTTTGTCAAGTCGTTTATCGACCTTTTGACGCAGGCCGGAGATGCTCTGCAGTGCAATTTCCTGGTTCTGTATCATGGTTTGGAGTTGATCATCAAAGTCCTTCACTCAGGAGTTCAAACGATCATTTCCTTTCTTCAACGCCGCCTGCATGTCTTCTAGTTGCGATCCTGCTTTTACCTTATGGCAATATTCCTTCATCTTTGGTACTTTTCCACAACTCCTATGGTCTTCGATCACACATTCGTTGCAGCACAGACGTTGGTGATCCTCACAATACCGAACCATTTTCTCGCCGTGTTGATAACACCGAGGGGCAGACGTTTCCCTATTTAGTCGTTTGCTATGGTTTCCGGTGACATCCAGTATATCACATTCAGTGTGTATGATATCATGAAGTTCTAACTTACAAATGTTGCAAAAGTTCTCGTTCATCGTCTTGCACCAATAACTGGCCGGGTTGTTCAGGTTACCTTTTGTCTGGCAGGGTTTGCAGTACAATGGTTCAGACGAACGTTCCTTAAGCTGGATAAGATCCTGGATCAAACTATTAGTCGGGAATTGCTCTGCCCATTTAGCCCTTGATTCTGCAAGCTGAACAGGAGAGGTCGTCATCCTACAGATCGGACAAGGGAAGGATGTTGTCGACATCATCTTCCCGGACAGTTCCTTTGTAATATATGTCCCGAGACAATCCTGACAGAAGGAGTGTAGGCACGGTAAGGACTTTGGCAGTTGAAGTTGCTCAAGGCATATTGGACACTCCAACAAGTGTGAGTCCAGTTCTGAACTCACACTTGTAGCCATTGTTAAAGTCAGAAGAGTCAACACAGACCTGAAATAGAAAAGAGAAAAAACTGTGAATATAATATAATACCAAGTGATAGACAGCTATCGAGGCCGGTTAGTAAGACATGTATTCTTTAAATGATTACTGCATAGCTAACAGTATAATGTAATCATCATGTGAGGTCGTTGATGTAATCAAGTAAAGGCTAGTTTTTTTTCTTTACATTAATTCTGACTTTAAACGAATTGTTTAAAGACATAGATGTGTCTTTAATGATATAGGGTGCGTAATGGTGAAAGTTTCCTTACTACAAGTAGTACCATAGTTTAAGGCTTGGAATTGTTCGAGTCGTAATTTTGGGAAATAATTTCACTGTTATCGTTTATACAACGCGTTTTACTTTTTTATTTTTTATTTTGCCTGGTGAATAGTTATGTTTAAGCGGTATTTTTTTATAATTTATGTCGATCGTCACTGATAAGTGTTATTGTGTTATGTCTGTTTATATGCATACCTTTTCCATTCAAGAAATAGTGATACAGTTGTAACATCATTTAAACAGTCATACATGTGTTTTCTTATACATTATTATGTGAAATAATAATCTCAGATATAAGCATACTACCTAATTGTTTGTGAGTCGAGATGTCGTAGAAGGGGATGCAACTCTTACATTTCCTTGTGGCAAATGTACCGTAAAAATGAATGCAGCTTTCGTTTGATACCAACGATATATACTTATACGCATTAAACGATGTTTACTCGCAGTTTTTTTTACAGTTAATCGATTTAGGACAGACAACAGAAAAAAACCTTTTACCGGAGTTTTGGTTTGTATACGTCTGACAAATCCAATGTTACAGTTCACCGTGTACTACAAGGAAATCACACATACATGGGTCATTATGGTTTGTTTGTATCATTGACATAGCCTGCATAAAATATAAGTGGTTATACCACTCTTTGACCGTTATACTCACCAATGGAACTCTTATCTGCACAGCTAGGAAGCACAAACTCCTACATACCATACATCTGTTTATACCTTGAATCCGTATATAACACAGGAAGTATGTCAAGCATTGTATAAATATCGAATGGTCAAGGTGGTATCACAATTCCGGATACTAGACGATTTTCTATGAGTTGTTATATTATGCTTTACTGGAAAAAAATACATACCAGTTTCATAAACAATGTTATATCTTTAATAGTATAGAAACTTTCAAAAACGACCTATACTATTTATAGAACAAATAAAAATATGAAGGCTCCACGATGGCTTATTGCCATGCGGCATTGTGTATTTATGACATTCTGATTACTGGAGCATGCGCTGAATTCATACTGGAAATCTAAGCTCATCATGCTTTGTATTTTTTGCACTGAAATAATCAACACCGTGCAAACAAATAACATTGTACGTATTGTCCAGTAGGTAATAGAGTATAGACTTTGCAAATACAATCAAATGAGAACATTTGAATCTTAATGTTTTAGGGCAAGAATGTGCAAACTGAAGCAGACATTTATATATAAGAGTTCGTGCGAACAACAAAACTTTTGTATTTATTATCGGTAATTAATAATATGGATTCCTGTCATTTAACTAACACGTGCCGAAGCGGTGAGGAATTGTGCCAGCCTATATCTGAATGTATTTTGTATTTTTTTTGTAAAACTGAGTTGACCGTACTGTTTTCGAATAGGCAAACATATAGGAAAACTGACAATACTTTGATTATGGCGCCCCTTTAAATCTATATCAACGGAGTCATATTTCCAGCTCATTTACCTGATCTTCACACACTTGTCCCCATCTCAGGTGCCGGTACCTTTCAATATTCGTGTTTAAATAGAGAACAGATCATATGTGTTATATGTTATATTGCATTCTATGCTTCAGAGAACAACATCACTTATATACGAAGAACTAATTATATTATGTAATAGTCAACTACACAACTATTAACGAGTTATCACCTTTGTGAATCTTTCTCTTATAGACATATTGTATGGCCTTATGTCACCGCTATACAATTGCAAAGTCACTCAAAGTGTTATGAATACTCAGAGAGTATTGACAACGTGCTGATAATTTTTTAAACTCTACCTCAGAGCGACCAAAGCATATTTGTGACATAAATAGAAAGGTACCTTTGCGTCTATGTCATGTTATTATGGTATGTGTAGACAACGTTTTCATTTGGTGATTTAACCAAAAAAAAAGGAAAGGTCATCAAGTGCAGCAGATGTATACGTTCTTTGTGTTTCTGCATCAATCCTAATTGGTAAGTTGGTACTTCCTGACATTGTTTTCCAAGTAATATCCGTACACTCTAACAGTGTATATACATGTTAGTGTGGTTTTATATATCATCTTTCAATTGTAAGCTCCATTCACCATTTATATAAGCTGTAGTTTTCCAACATAATGTATTTCTGCAAATATCACATTATGAATATAAACTTCAGCATTACCAATTAAAATGTTCAATAGGTTTTTTTATCATTTGGAAATGCATAGCAATTTATATGCCTTGTATTGTTGAACAGTTTTACTATTTTGCTATATAAGAAAATACTGCATTTTATGCAGTTTAAGGCCAAACAAGTGCGAACGTTGTAATGACCTTCGTTTCCGAGATAATATATATTTTTAATATACCTCGACTCAGCGGCTATCGCCCCGATATGGGTACATGAAGCTCACATATGTGACGTCACAAGTTTAACGCTGCCTTATAGACTGTACTGGGGCTGCGATCGTGAACTTTTTAGTTATGTATATTATATATCCCGTCATCATTGACTTATGTAGGTAAAGTTTAAAGTGATACATACACTGTACATATAATGACTTTTTTTTACACAATTTAATGATGGAATGCGTTCCTTTTGAGAAGGCAAACGATGTGCTGTATGCGAGTGTCCGAACACAAATGCAGATGATATACAAATGATTGTGTGTAGGTACATAATTCGTTAATTTAGTGCTTGTAAATATTATACTTTTCATTATTCATTTGATCTCTAGAAACTATAATGAACCCCTATATTCAACACAAATAATTTAATCTCGCTTGTAACAAACCTTTTCATTAGCCTAAACAATTATGTTATCAGTCCATACCATAAAAATGATGTCGCCGTGTGTAACGTCGCTTTTGATTGGCTGATACAGCGGCGTAATAATTTCTAAGACAAAAGTGTCCATCAATAAAAGTTGATTTCCACAGGGATCGTGTATAGTAGATTAAATTATAAGGATTACAACAAAAATCCGGAGTGCACTCTCATCATTATTTAGAGTATACTCCGTTTTTTTGTGTTATAGATCCATAACATAAGAAATGTATTGAAGTTATTGCTTAAATAAATGGATTAAAAATCGAAAAATCGAGTCAAATTAATGTAAGCGCACCTCTTTGTTTACAATATGCGGGAGATATACGATTGAAATTGACAAAATAAACCATAAAAAAACAGTACAATAAATTATACCCAAAATGAACAGCAACTCATGTATTTTACCCCTATTTATAAATACTTGAAATAATATTAATAAGCATGCACTATATGCGACATTAGTTGTCTTGTATAGTTACATTACACATAGAGGTATTAGGAAGGGGATACCTGTCCGTTCAGGTTTCACAAATATCTGTAATTTATCAATAAACCACCTGATCAGATGACAATGTGCATAGCATGATCCAGCATTATCTGTTTTGTTCCTGATTTTCATCTGTCGGGTGATGTAGTTGTACTGTGAATAGCGAACAGGTGAAAATCGTACACTTTGCACGTTAAAATCTCGTTATTGGGCTGACCAATTTATGCGGTTTTCGACCGTTTTGATATTGGATCATATATAATTATATTATGTGTGTTTCTCTGTTTGTTCAGGGTAGACGTTAAAAAAGAAATATTACACACAGACCAACAAATAAACATAAAATAGATGTCAACGCTGTAAAATGTGTATGGTATTGTTTAGATAACAACACATGATTAAGATTTATTCTATTGGTGTGTTACATACAAGATAAATAGGTATATTTACTATTGATAAAATGGTTGCGAGGAAATAGAAAATGTGAAAATGACGCAGATACCTTTTTCTTCTGTACCTTTTATATACCAACATTTTCTACACAACCTGAACGTTATAATGGTTGCGGTATGTGCTTTGTACCCATTTCATTATATAACTGTTAACAAGTTGTATGATTTAATCTTTCGTCCTCGAGATAAATGTATTCAACATTTCTTGAAGGAAAGATGCAATGGCATGAAATATATATGTTCAATTGTTAAATACAGAAGAACATTTTAAAAATAACAGATATTGATTAAATGCCTCTTATAATGCAAAACCAGAAAATGCCAAAAGAGAATTTGACGCATAATTTCATATATATATATTTTATTTGAGGACAAATCTTTGACAAATAAAATCGAACTAATTGATAGGCAGATTAATTGATTCCCCTGCCCTTTCTTATCAATGCATCATCGATAAGGGTTATGTCCTCTATAAGTACTATTGCCTGACATACGTTATGGGAGTGTGAGGTTTGTCAGAAACCAAAACAATTCAGATTTTCTAGTAAAGCAATGACTCATGCATTACGGTTTCTTACAAAAAGGGACAAAACTATTAGGTTGTTATTTTGATATTAAGTTTTAGATTAAAGTATTGCAGATAGTATTTAAAACATTTATGATCAAAAATATAATGGATTTTATGGATTCAGGTTTTGAATAAAAGTAGGTTGCTTTTTGTTTTCCGTTTAGTTGCCAATATAGAGTTGCATCGATGATGTTGGTTATAATGCCTTGAGGAGTTTATGATGAAAACACGGAACTTGTTCATTGTCATTCATATTTACGTTTATGTAACCACCACGCCTACTCTGAGTGTATGGTAGATACGCCGGAGATACTTAGTGTGGTGGCACTTGCAACGTTTCATTTTGTGTGTGCAAGCAAGGTAAAATTACAGTGGGATATTATAATATGTTTGAACCTATTCATCACAGGATTGATTAAAAATAGAAAAAACAAAACTCACAAAAAAACAGTAACACCGACACAGTTGCGTATTTGTATTTTGTTTTTGTGGTACCCTATACAACACACATATCAATCACAAGTGTCGATAACGACCTTCAAACATACTAACATATCTAAGATGTCCCAAATAAGCAACCAACAATGTTTTCGAAACGTTCACTAGACAGTTGTTGTGCTTTTACCCACTGTTGCTCGATAACTGACAAATACTGATAACATCACTAGATAAATGGCAAGAGACGCGTGTAACAAATATTGTACCTCGTTAACGTGTTATCGTATGTTTATGGAACATAATAGTCATGACGTATTGGTAAAATATTTTTCTCAACATTAAATTAATCTGATCTCAACACAAAAGTGAATCTTTGGCGTTATAATCATCAATTCATCAGTAATATACAGAACAGTTTGTATAAAAAAACCAATCGATATTGCCTATACAGGTATATAGAACAGAAAGTGTATGAACTGAATCTGACAACAGCGATGCTGCATAACACTTGGCATCCCTATTGCAGTGTTTGTATCCGTATTAAAAGCAAATGTGTATGGTGTTTTGGTAGAGGAACCTGATTATTTGTTTCCCTAATATTAAGCCTATCTTACAGAGTCAATGGGTAGTAGGTACTAAGCTATTATCATATCCTGCCTTGTCTCTACATTTTCTAGTACTTGTTATCCATATTTTCGACCTTAATTTAAGTATCTCTGTTTTTATATTGACAAAATGCAGTAAAAGGCTATCATTCCAAGGTCCTTACCAATGCTAATGTAAACTTAAGTAAGACTCTATATCTCAATAAAGTAGTATACCTCAACAGGTGTAATCGATGTATGCCCAATGTCATATTTGTTCATCAAGGTGAAATTAGCATACCCATATATAAAACATATATATAAGCACAACTGTCTTTATGAAACATTCGCTGTTATCACGCATTTCCCGATACAAAGTGCTCTAGGTACATCGCAAAATCAAAGTTCATGACATATAATT